TATATATATATAATCATTAGAATGAAAAGCTTTTATAGTCTGCAGATTTGTTGCCTACTTCATTCTTCAGTTTTATTGACTTGAAAGGCAATTTAAGTTTTAAAATCTTCTCTGGAAGATTTCTAGAGAAGAATTCAGCTCTTTGTTTTTATCGTTTCATTCTTAAAAGAAAACAGAGTGGGGCAGGATAGATACTGGAGGAAGGCGTGTAGGTGGAGAAGGAGGATATATGGCTAGAGTGCATCATGCTGTGTGTCTTCTAAGATCATGCTACTTAAGATTTTTTTAGTGACTATTCCTATACTTTAATGCTGAACTGCATTGTCTTTGGTAATGTTACTGAAGTGTCTAAATTATCTGGCATTAACTTCGGAAAAAAATACTGCTGTTCTACATCTCGGTTATCTTGTAATGCTTTGTCTTGTTTCTTCTTGCTGGTGATGAGGCTGTGATGTGTAGGCTCCAGGTGGCAGGAAATATTCCTGTCATGATGGGGAGCTGTGAGCATCTCTGAAACAAATGTAGAATATGAACGAGAGTACAGGCTGTTTGATGTGAACTAACTCTCCTCTTGCACCCTCTTCCAAGCACAGCTGCATTTTTGTCTCTCTTCACTCCCTCCAGGTGCTGGTTCTTGTTCCAACCAGGGAACTGGCCACTCAGGTAGCCAAGGACTTCAAGAATGTCACCAGGAAACTGTCGGTGGCTTGTTTTTATGGAGGAACTCCATATAAAGAACAGCGTAAGTAAACACTAAGGAATTACAACTGGATTGGAGCTTTCTCCAGATGTGTTCCATGAATAGAACTGGCTTTTTTTATCCCTCAGTTTCACTTCAGTCGGGAACCATGACATTGCTTTCAAAGGAAGCATACAGCCTGGGTTGAATTATTTTAGTTCCAATAAATCTTTATTAAAAATATATATTTGTAGGTCTGCAAAGTGGCTAGTGCTTTTAATTTCTTAGTTATTGATTGTTTTTGTATTTTTTGTGTGAATACGCTTTGGGACTGGACAGCTGTCTGAGGAAAAGAGAAACTGTGTATGTGCATGTGGCTTTGTCTGTCTCTCTACAGAGGTAACCGTGAAAAAGAATTTGGCTGAAAAACTGAAGTGTGATTTAAAGCTCCAGAGGTTTCTGATGCCAGCTTGTTGCTGCTTGGAAATCGATGTGTTTTATTGTAACTTTGCTTGTGGTTTAACTGGTATTCCTGACAGAGCAACTTGGACTGCCATGAAGCTTACTCGTTTGTTACCTGGATTGGACATAGTGCTTTATTCAGAGATTAATTAAGGACAGTAGGTTTTTTGTCCTAAAATTAGAAGTGTTGCTGTGTGCTGGTAGCTTTTTACGTCGTTGTCTCTTAGCATTCTGACACTGTCCTTGTTTTTCTGTCTTTTCTTCCAGTTGATCTCCTTAGAAGTGGCATTGATATTCTAGTGGGGACTCCTGGACGGATCAAAGACCACATTCAGAATAGCAAGCTGGAACTTTCCAGTGTGAAGCATGTTGTTTTGGATGAAGTTGATCACATGTTAGACATGGGCTTTGCTGAACAAGTAGAAGAAATCTTAGGATTTGCTTATAAAAAAGGTAAATTCTGACATCAGGAGAGGAATAAGGGACAATGAAGAAAACACAATTATGCTACTTTGAAAACAGCTGGTGCACCCCCAACTTGAATCCTTTGCGTGATGCTGGTATTGGACCTCTGAGAACAGGGTGAGGTAGAATTGGAAAAGGTTCAAAGCAAGGTGACAGATGGCTGAAGGGCTGGAACAGCATCTTTGGGAAGAGGGACAAAAAAAAATGGCAAAAAAGCAACAAACCCAGCCCAACACCCTAAGCCCCAGTGTTCGTCATCCTGAGAGAGGTGATTAAATTAGAGTTAGGGTTTTGATACATCTATACGCCTCGTCTTCACACAAAGTTGACAACTAGGGAATATTTGCTCATTTCTGATGTAATGGGCAGGCAGTGAAGCCACCAAGTAGCAGGTACACAGCAGAAGAAGGTTATTTTAATAACGTGAAATTCCTTGCCACATTGTACTGATGCCAAAAATTTTGGAAAATGACTTAATAGATTACTGGAAGTAGAAATATCAAGGATTACTAAAAGCAATGGTACTGCTTCTGGCTCTGGAAGTGAAAAAACGCTGGGTGCTGGCAGAGGTTCTTCATATCTTTGTAACTACACCAACTGCACTTGGAATGAGTATGTGAACTTCGTGGATCTTAGGTCTGACCCAGTACAGCTGTTGTCATTTTTACTTGTTTGTTAGGTTCTCCTCATTTCTGCAGAGCTGATCTTTGTCCTGACAGCCAGAAAGTACAAATAACCTAAAAAAAGGAAATCTGTATAAATTTTGGAAGATTTGTCATAATTATTAAATCTTAAAAGTATTCTTTATAACTGGAAAGTAAATTGCAGGGAATAATAAGTATTATTTTCCAATGTGTGTTTCTTTCTGTCTGATCCTGTGGAGCTATGAAGGTTAAACTTTCTCAAGATACTGCTTGTTCAACTGCTTTTACCTGGGGTAATCTATCTTGTTACAGAATTCTTCCCCCAGGTGTGCAGTGTCCCTTTTCGCCTGCCTTTTTCCTTTGCACACAGCTGTACTGTTCACATCTAGTTAGTACTGGAATAGCAGGCAAGGAGAGATTGAGACAAGAGTTCTTTCAGGTGTGTGGGAGGACTTCAGGCATGGTCTAAACCATTTTTAGCAGACGATCTGGAAATGTGTCTTGTATTTCCTCTCAAAAAGGATTAAGGATTCTGTTTAGTCCAGTTAAAATTACTGTAATTTTGCCTTTGTTGTCTAAGGGTTATTAAAAATGTGTCCGCTGCTTCTAAATTTTCTTCTTTTTTCTGACTTTTTGCACATATAAACCTCTCGAGAGCATCTCTGATTAAAAATACCAGTTCTCAAGTCTGAGAGTCTGTTGTGATGACTGGAATCTGTGGCCTTTCCTTCCAGGTTCTGAGAACAACCCCCAGACACTGCTGTTTTCTGCAACTTGTCCACGATGGGTATATGATGTAGCAAAAAAATACATGAAAGATGAATATGAACAGATCGACCTGATTGGAAAGAAAACCCAAAGGACTGCCACAACTGTGGAAGTGAGTGATTCTGCTGCAGAGCAGTGCAGGTCCCAAGAGCGTGTAGCCTGGATGATGAGAGTTCTGCATTGACTTCTGCATTGCAGATGCGGGTGTGGAATGACTTTTCACATGATTGACACAGAGATTATTTTATTTTTTTTTAAGCAAGCTTTTGTATAGAGGCAGTAATTTGCAAGCTGAAAGAAAAAAATAATCTTTCTGCATTCATTTTGTCTGTGCTGTGTGTGGCTTAGGTGTAACATAAAAGCTTTTGTCTCTTTCCCAAACAGCACTTGGCTGTACAGTGTCGCTCATCTCAGAGAGCGGGAGTTCTCGGGGATATCATTCAAGTCTACAGTGGCAGCCGTGGGCGAACTATTGTTTTTTGTGAGACCAAAAAGGAAGCAAATGAACTGGCTATGAATGCTTCACTCAAACAGGTACTGGGGGCTGAATAGAGAGCAGCAGTACAGATGTTCAGGGGTTGAATGCCCTGAAGTAAATACGAGGTTGCAGCTGTGTGGATGAAGTGTTGTTTCTGTGGGTAGTTTTAAGACTTAGGAAAGCTGTTTCTGTAAATGGAGCGTGGCAATTAAAGTACCCTCTTGGCTGTGGTTATGCATTTATTTCTTTGGCTTTAAAACCATGCAGGACTGCATCAACGGAAAATATGCAGCTTATGCTGAATAACCAGGAGATAGTAATAATGGTAATAAACAGGAGGTAGTGTAGTGCACATATTCCATCTCCTGTCAGTGTGCTCTTTGGATTCCTGTCTCTTCAAGGCTTTTATTTTTCAAACAGTCAGCATTCAGGAAAATCCAACTGTGGTAGAACAGAATGTCTGGTTGTCCCTGGAAGGTCATTTCATAGTTTGTTCAGACCTCAAGTGATATATTGAGAGTGCTTTCTATGCTTGTTTGAATTATCAACCTTTCCTTGATGGTGGGGAAAGACGCTGGATATTTTTTCAGAGAAAATCCTGTTTAATACTAATTTGTGGGAAAGGAGAAGAATTAGGTGTACATGATTTTCCCAATGTTTGGTACGTGTCCACATAAAAATCTTGCAGGAACAGTTTTTGTCTGGCCCTGCTACTTTCCCAGTAAATTCCAGTGACTTTTTTCTTGTGTCAGTATGTGACACATTTTTCTCTTATGCTAGAATGTTCTACTTTAGCATGTTACTCATTTGAATTCTGAGCTTGTGACTCTTCCCTTCTTGTCAAACAGTTGATCTTTCTCTTGTCCCATTAAAAATGGAGGTTGTTCAGATCACCTATAGCGTTTGGGAATGCCCTTGAAAAGCTCACTTCAGTGTGTTTTGGGATGGCTTCCTGGGGAAGGGAGTAAAGTCTCCTTGTAGCTCTTTGCATGTGCTGCTTAAGTAAAGTTGCTTCCATTTGTTCCAGTGGAGCTGGCAGCTGAAGTGAGCCCCTGTTGGCATGGCAGACTGCAAATTGTACAGTCTGCTGTTGGTATACTACAAATAATGTTATGGTAAAACCACTGCTAGTGAGTAGTGTTTTCCCAGAGGAGGATTGTACCACAAAGTAGGATGCTTTGTATTCCTTTGGTATCAGCTGTGTAATTATTTTCTGTTGCTCTGCACAATGTTTTGGTTTTTGTAATTGTCATTACATACTGCAGCCTGGACTCCCCCTTTAAATGATATCTTAATGGTTGGTTTCACTGACAGGATGCCCAGTCATTGCATGGCGACATTCCACAGAAACAGAGAGAAATTACATTAAAAGGCTTTAGAGATGGTGTCTTTGAAGTTCTGATTGCAACAAATGTGGCTGCCCGTGGTTTGGATATTCCAGAGGTTGACCTCGTTATACAGTGTTCACCACCAAAAGTAAGTCATTGGAGGAGTCTAAACTTGTAATTTGTTTTTTCTTTTTTGGTTGTTTTTGGGTTCTTTTTGTGTTTAGGCTTTTTTTTTCACAGAATTGCTCGGTTGGAAAAGCCCTCTGAGATCATGATGTCCAACCGTTCCTGTCTACCCCCTAAACCATATCCTTAAGTACCTCGTCTACCCGCTCCTTAAACACATCCAGGGATGGTGACTCCACCACCTCCCTGGGCAGCCTGTCCCAGCTTCTGATGATCCTCTCAGTAAAGAACTTCCTCCTCATCTCTAACCTAAACCTCCCTTGGCACAGCTTGGTGCCGTTTCCCCTTGTTCTATCCCCCATCACCTGGGAGAAGAGCCCAGCACCCACCTCTCTACAACCTCCCTTGAGGCAGTTGTAGGTGGTGATGAGGTCTCCCCTCAGCCTTCTCTTCTCCAGGCTAAACAAGCCCAGTTCCCTCAGCCGCTCCTCATCAGGCTTGTTCTCCAGAGCCCTCTCCATCCTTGTGGCTCTTCTCTGAACACGCTCCAGAATCTCAACATCCTTTTTCTAGTGAGGGGCCCAGAACTGAACACAGCACTCGAGGTGCGGCCTCACCAGTGCCGAGTACAGGGGGATGATCACCTCCCTGGACCTGCTGGTCACACTGTTTTTAATACAGGCCAAGATGCCATTGGCTTTTCTGGCCACGTGGGCTTTTGTGGCAGAACAGTGGGTTATTCCTTTGTTTCACCAGAAGTATGTTCTGATTCACAGATGAAGTGGATTTTTTGTAAATGCAGGCCTAGTTAAGCTTTTATATTTTGAGCTTTGATTAAAGTAAAAGTGTTGGGTTTTAGTTACTGTGGAAAATCGTAAGATAGCTTTTGACATTGTTTCAGCATTTCTGAATCTCTTCTAAATGTTGAGCTTCATAACAATTTTAAAATACTCCTACTACCTCTTTCTTTTGAAACTCCAGTGGAGCTTTTTATTTAAAAACCCCTTATGTCAGTAGTGTTTGTTGAACCTGAGGCAGCATACCTTAGTGTACACAAACCTGGGTATTTGAGTGTAGAGACATAATGTATCACTTCTGAGGCATCTAAACTAGAATTTAGCTTGCATTTTCTTTCTTACAATGTATACATGTCAGCAGTTTAAATGACATAAGGTTTTCTCATGTTGATCTGAATTTCTGAAGGATGTTGATTCCTACATCCATCGTTCTGGACGTACGGGTCGAGCTGGCCGGACTGGGATCTGCATTTGCTTATTTCAGAGAAGAGAAGAAGATCTTCTGAAACAGGTTGAGCACAAAGCGGTGAGTTCTACCTGACCTCTGCTTAATTAAATTAGTCAGCTCCTAAAAAGTCTCTGGCACCCTTAGACTTTGTTAACCATGGCCTGCTTATGAGTCCAGTATGGGACTTGTGTCCCGTAGTTCAGTAGGCCTAAAATGTTGATATTTGGTAAGTGTATCAACCTGTTCTAATGTCTTACCTTATGAGTTTTTCATATTGGCAATATTCTGTTGCTGTCAGCTGACAGACTGTGACAGGAATGCATGCAGGACACCGTGCCTCACATTGCAATCTGGATGTAAATTGGTGCAAAGTACCTCCAGATTAACAAAGGCAGGGACTTAAAAGCCTTATTCTAGCTTTACAAATAAGTAAAGACTGTGTTGACGTTCTAAACAGTAACCAGAGGTCTCAGTAATGTGGCTAAGGTAGAGTTGAGTTGTAGAGTGCTGAAAACACCTTTAAGTGTAACTTGTTTTCTTGATTTCAGGGGATTACATTTAAGCGTGTAGGCGTTCCCTCTGCTACAGACGTAATCAAAGCTTCAAGTAATGATGCCAAAAAGTAAGTTTATTTGCTTTTTCTTAAAAGATGCCTAGAGATCTTACCAACAACAAGGCTTGCTAATGCAAAGCTTTAAGGGTTCAGACCTGTATGTGAGCGTGCCTTTGCCTAGGTCATAAAGCTGGTTTGCTCGTAAACACTGACTTGGTTTCGTAAGATGGTATCAATAAATCTTTATGTGCTTGAACATAGACCTTTTCATAGAACATAATGTTCTCTAAATTCTTGCAAAAATTAACCTTTGTTTATATCATCAGAAATCAATAGCAGAACAGGGAATTACTGTTACAAGGGGAAACTGATTTTGTCAGGTCAGATGATACAGTAGCAGTGTGTAAAGAGCGATACTTGGAGAGTTCTCTGCAGTAGTGAGGGTGTTGTAGCCCTGTCCTGTGTTTCTTTGTATTATTTTATTTTCAAGGGCTGTGTTTTTTATTCCGTGCAGCTTTGTTTACATTTACTGTCCCACTGGTGGAAGTTGTGTTGGTAGAGATTACAAGTAACAAGAATTTGACAAGCGTAAAGGAGATCATGGGCATGGTACTGGGTAGCACTAATGTACCAAAAAATGGTGGAAGGTGCTGGTGTACTAAAAATAGCACCAGAGAAGTAGGTGTTCTCAGCTTCCCAGCTTGTTTTCACTGCCTCTCCCAGAAATAACCAACTTAATTGGCTTGCACTGAGAACAAAAGTGCCTTGTGCAAACCTAGCAGTAGCATTGTAGTGGTTTGCTTCTCTTCCCTGTGAAGTAAAAGCAAGGGATTCTTGGGTTTGCTGGTAACACTTCTTGTGGATTCTTGGGTATGACCTTAAGAATGCTGATATTTTAGAGCCTTCCCTGGATGTTTTTATCCATGCTCTCAGACATCCTCAGTTTTGAACATACCTTCCAAGAGGCTTGGCTTAGTGAACAGGGAAGGTGGATATTTAGCATCCTGAAGGGGTTGAGTTAAATGAGTGGTTGTGAAACATAAGCATGATAGCCAGGGCTTTTAGAGATAACTCATTACTTGAAATCTGTCTACAGTCTGTCTTAAATATGACTGCACTTCTCACTGGCCTTTGCTGGTATCTTAAACTTTTGTTGTCACCATGTAGGTTGTTGGAGGCCATTCCTCCGTCTGCAGTAGACTACTTCAGAAAATCTGCTCAAGAGCTCATAGATGAAAAAGGGGCGGTTGCTGCCCTGGCTGCAGCTCTAGCCCATATTTCTGGGGCATCTTACATACAGCAGCGCTCTTTACTCAACTCGACTGCGGTAAGTAATGCTACACCTGTGTTAAGAAGAATGGATAAGTGAATTGCTTGCATCCAGTCCAAGAGTGGCATCCTCTTCTCAGGCTCTTTCAGTAGGGTTTCTGAATAGCTGTTTTTCCCAGCTTCTGGCTTGTTACTTGTTCTGTAGCTGAGATCAGCTCTTACTGGCACTCTGCAGGAAACCAGAGAAGCTCTAAATCAGTCAGTAAATTTTCTTGTAATGAGGGTTAAAATAATTTTTCCAGAGATCTAAGTGGCAGAAGACTTTGATGCTCTAAGGGAGTTTAACTAATGACATTTTACAAGCTAATAGATTATTTCGTGCTGTTGTAGTTTTCCCTTCCCAGGAAGCTTTTACATTTCTGTAATATTTCAATTAAGTCTAGCATGTGATTACCTGATTTCAGAGATATTGACAGAAGTGCAGCCCTTCCTTTTTCTCATGCATTTAGGGAGAACTGGGCCAAGTTTGTTGCATGACAACATCATTTTGGAAATAGCATGTGACTGCACAGTGTTTCTTGTATCAATTTGTTTTGGGTTTTTTTTACCCCTTTTCTAGTGGTAACTTTCTGTATTGAATTTATTATGAGGTGACCTGCTTGGTGGATGA